ACAAAATGAACACCAGAACGCATCTTGACACCAAGCAAACAGCGAACATACATTCCCACACAAGAAAATAATATCGCCTTGCTTGCCCTGCGGGCCTGGGCCAGGCTCAGCCAGAATGCAGCCAAGGCCCCTTCGATGCCAAAGAGTATAAATGCGCCCAAGTTTGCGAAACACCGCTTAGCATATTGCCCTCAAGATAAAACCCGCTCAGCCGCTTCTGACGCATCGATTGAGGCATACTAAACAAGAAAAGCGAACCAAACAAAGTGGGGCGCCTTGCTTGCCCAGTGGGCCTGGGCCAGGCTCAGCCAGAATACAGCGCTGCCAAGACCACGAATACGATGCTGAAGAGACAGACATTCTTGAGGTGGCCCAGCAAAATGCCAGAGCGAAAATTCCAACCACATACGCAGAAGTGAACAGCTACTGTTGCTTGCAATTGTCGGGGCTGCTGCCTGAAGGAGACGAAAACGACGCTGCATGTGGCTGCCCAGGCTGCGCCGTCATCCGATTCAACGCGGCAGCCGCCTCACACGAGATCGGGATGGCTCCTCTGCTCGGCCGAACTGGAGCGGCTGCAGCAACAGCTCCTCGCCCCTGAGCCAGAAGGAGACCATCGGCTACCAATGCTGCTCTCCGCCTCTGCCACGCGGCGTCAGCCGCCACGTCGTCAGGGCTCTGCTGTGGAGGATCGTGCGAACCCGCGCCGCTCACCCTCTCGCGAAAGTCGACAGGAGGCGGTCCAGCCTGCATGTCGGCAGGCGCTGAAACTTGTTGCTGCGGTAGAGAGTCACCAACTGGGGCTTCGCCCTTCGTCGCACCACCTGTTGGCACCGCCTCGCTGTCCCTCCCCAGAGCAGCCAACCCCCTCGGGGCCTCTGGTGGGAGAGATAGGGGCGGGACGGCTGCCGCTGTTGCAGGCGATGCGCCAGCCAGGTCGCCCTCGGGCGCCGGACCAGGGGGAGGCTCAGGATGGACTCGATCGGCAGGGTCAGCATGATCAGCAACCAGTGCCTGGCGGAGCGCACTGGCAAGGCGAGTCAAGCCTTGGCCCCTGTGCTGCTCAACTTCCGTGAACGCGTGCAGGAGCCTCATGACCGCCCGTCCGTTCGCGCGAGCATACTGAGCTCGGCGCTCAGCTGCAGTGCGATTGGGACGACGGCGCCTGGGCTCCCGCTCCATGCCGGATGCGCGAAAGGCGAGGACGTGGTCGGAGCGGGGAGCTCCTGTGGTGCTGGCTTGGGGTTCGAGCAAAACTGGCTCGAGCCAAGCTGGTCACTGAGATGATGCAGGGAGGGAAAGGTGGAGAGGAGGGACGCAGGGAGGAAGGAGGTGAGGGAGAGGCGGGGGTGAGCGATGAGAGGGTAAGGAGGGAAGGATCGAATTAGTGCAGAAGTGAAGGAAAGGAAGGGAATAGGAGAGGGAGGGATGGTATGGGAGATGAGGATTAATGGAGAGGAAGGGAGTAGAAGGGAGGAGGGGCAGGACGGAGGTAAAGCAGATGAGGGGGGAGGGGGAATGTGAGGAATCGAGGAGAGAACCACGGGGGGAAGGGGGCAAGGTGAGGGATGGAGAGAGAGAGAGAGAGGGAGAGACAGGCAGCCATGAGGGAGCAAGGGCGGGACGCAGGCAAAGGGGATGAGGGAAGGGGGTGGGGGATCGAGGAGCGCAGGAAGGGAGGGGTAAGGGGGGAAGGGATGAGAGGAGGGAGGCGGTAGAGCTCTTCGAGGAAGGCAACCACCCGGCCCCCAAGACATGCTCGTCCAGCGCAGGGAAGGGGAGGGGGAAGGGAACGTGAGGGGAGGGAGGCCGTAGGGTTCTTCGAGGAAGGCAACCACCCCGCCCCTACGACGTGCTCGTCCATTCTACGTTCGGGGAGACTTGAGACTCGGGTTCGGGGGAACCGGGTTGGCCTGACGAGGCCATCACGAACATGATGCGACCCTATCTGAAGTTTGACGCGAACTCCCGCTGCAAACATCCCGCGAGAAAAGGACCGTCAACATCCGGGACGCGCTCGTCACAAAACGCGGGCAAACCCGAGTTCTGGCGTGCTCGAGTCTTAAGTTCTCCCGATACGTACTAAGAACCTTACTGGAATGATCCGATTGGTGGTGGACATATACCCCTGTTAGCAAAACCACCCATTACGGAAAACGGCCCGGGACCATATGCAGCTGGCTCAGGCCAGCAGAGCCTGCCGCGGAAACGCGCTCTCGAGAACCGACGAAAGGCAGTTCGTGAATCGATTCGGCAAGGTGCGGGTTTCTACCAGCGTGGGTCTGATCCGAGAAGGAGCCCTACTAGTACGCAACCTGCCCCTCTTCGAAAGACTGCGCCTATCCCTTTCAGGATGCCCCCGCCCTCCTCGAAAGCCGCCCTCTGAGAAACCTACCCCTTTTGGGATGCCCCCTGCTCTGCTCGAGTCCGAGTCGAGGGGAGGAGCCTGCCCTTTCCAGGACGCCGGCCTGCCCTCTTCGAAGAGGCCACCCCGTCTCCCTGCTCTCTCTCTCTCTCTTTTTGTCCGCGCCCCCAGCTCATCCCTTCCCCTCTTTGCCATCGCTCGGACGTCCTTTCCCTTCCACCTGCATATTGTTCGACGTCGCGCGTGTTTTTTCTCGCAGGATGAGCCAATATGCTCCACAGGGATCCCCGCCGAGAAAGACGCACGCGTCCGAACGATGCCAAGGGCGCCCCCAGCTGACTCCTTCTCCTGACCTTACGCTGCATTTTTGTTTTGTTGGGGGGGGGGCTTGCCTGCCCCATGGCACCGCCATCCGCGGCCTCGGATCCGCGTCGAATCTCCATGTCAAACGTAATTAGAGACTCCAAGTCGACTCCGCGTCGAACACCCGTCGGATGATTATTGGCGGCGAGCGAGGGGGGGCGGTACGAAGGAGAAGGCCTTATCAGAGGGCTGCGCGCCTTCTCAGAAGCCCTCGCGCCTTCTGAGAGGGAGTGTCTTCGGGGAACGCTCCGAACACTTCTCAAAGGCTGGGGGACTTCCGAGCCTTCTGAGAAGGCCCGCCCCTTCTCACGTCCCCCCTGGCTCGCCGCCAAAATTACAGAAGAAGACACAATTCACGGGATAGACACGACCCCCCGACGATCCAGCTCAACTTCCCCTCACGTCGCCACCGGCGGCAACGGCAGGGAGGGTGCGCCCTTCCTTGCCGAGGACCGTGAAGCCGCTGGCTTGGAGAACGTTGAGGAAGACCTCGCGCGCGCTTCGACTGCGCTGGCGGACCGGACCGACGTCTAATCTCCGGGCTCGTTCTGCCCTCCCCCCATTGAAGAGGACGGGCGTGGGGAAACCGAGAGGTACCGATACCGCCACTCCACGGACCTCCGCCTGGGTACGTTCTGACCAGAATTTCGAAACGAATCCAACGGCGGCGACGAGGGCCTTCCAGGAGGCTCAAAAAGCGAACTCCAGGCAGGGGTAGCAGTATCTGTACACGCAAGAAGTAGGTAGAAGCATGCAGTAGGAAGGCGGAGAACGCAGATTGGGTTCGGGCCCGCCCAAATCGCAACAAGAGCGACAAAACACACAGATCGATTCTTGAAAGAGACAGGCGCTTGAAAAAGAAATAAAAAAAAAAAAAAAAAAAAAAAAAAAGAGACAAGAAAAAAAACAAAAATAAGAAAGAATAAAAAAAAAAAAAAAAAAAAAAAAAAATAATAAAAAAATGAAAAAAAAAAAAAAAAAAAAAAGAAAAACAAAAAAAGAACAAATAAAAAAAAAATAAAAAAAAAAAAAAAAAAAAAAAAATAAGGCATAGCTGGGGTTCTGGGAAATCCAGAAACACCTCTTTTCAACGACCCTTTCAACGACCGGTGAATACCCGCTCCTCCCCTGGGGGGGAAAAAAAAAAAAATTAAAAGAAAAAAAAAAAAAAAAAAAGAAAGCGCGTTGAAAAAAAAAAAAGAAAAAAAAAAAAAAAAAAAAAAAAAACAAAAAAAAGAGTGCGGAGCTGGCTCCCGTCACGGCCGCGCAAACGAGGGCAAGGGGCCCCCGCCCGCCGCCCGACGCGCGGCGTGCCCGCGGAATCTCCGCGGGAGGCTCGGCCACGCCGTCCTCGCAGGTCATCCTGCGCCGCGGGCTAGCCTCCCTGCAGGCCAGGGGGCCGTCCTCCCCCTCCTCCTCCTCCTCCCCCTCCTCCCTCCTCCCTCCTCCCTCCAGTCGCCGCGACCTGCTCGAGGTGTTTGGGTGCAGGCCACAGTGGCCTGCGACACCTCCGCGGTCGCGCGACCACGGGCGCCGCCACGCCGCGCGGCCCCGATCTGGATCCGGCCTGGCACCGCCGCCGCCGCAAGGAGCGTGCCAACGCACGAGTGTTCCTGCGGCTTGGTGCGGCGGCAGGCCTACTGGACAAGCACCACAGCAGCGGCAGGATGGCGCTGGGAGACCGTGCATCGTCACGTTCGACAGGCCATACATCAACCCGGCGCTGCTCCTTCGTGAAGTGCAGCCAGGACAACTTCGCGTCGAGAACGACATGCAGAGGCTGCGGAGCGCCCAAGGGAGGAGGAGGTGGTGGCCAGAAGGAAAAGGCCAAGCCCCCCTGGAGGAAGCGCTCTGCATCGGCAGACAGAGGAGGACACGGGCGAGGAGCTGCAGCAGGAGACCAAGGGGAGGCAGATGCAAGAGGGCCAGCGGCCTCGGGCAACATCGGCATCTTGCCCATGCTGCCGAACCAGGCGCAGCACCACCCCAGCTGGCTCTCCGCCCCGCCGATCGCCGCAGGACTCAAGCGCCACAGGGAGTCCTTGCGCAAGGCGATGGTGGCGGCGGCGGAGGCGGTGAGGGCGATCCGCAGCATGCCCCCGGAGCAGGTCTCCCCGCAGCGACTCAAGCAGGCGGAGAACGAGTATGCTGCGCTCCACTGCCAGGTCATCCTCGCTAAGGACCCGACCACGCGCATGGAGAAGCAGGAGCAGTTCGTCAACAAGGCCAAGAAAGCGCTGTCGGCCGCCAAGGACGCCCAGTTTGCCGCGGAGCTGGCGGCGGAGGCGTGCAAGGCGGAGACGGTCAAGGCCCAGAAGGAGTACCAGCACGCGCAGGAGTTCATGGCGCAGATGGCGCAGCTGGAGCACTGGTGCGCCTACCCGCTGCAGGGAGGAGCCCACGCCGCTGCGGAGCCAGTCGCGCACAAATTCGCCAGTGACGCGGCGGTGCCGGACGACAGCAACGAGGAGATCGAGGACGCGGACGACGACGGCTATGGAGGAGGCTCGTCAGGGCAGCAGCAGATGCCAGTGAGGCCAGCATGGTCACACACAGGCACGGCCCAAGATCAGAACCGCGTGGCGAAGCTGGAGACACAGATGGGGTCCATGCAGGACGCGCTGGGGCAGATCCTCGCAGCGCTCAATGGGCGCCCCCTCCAAGGCCAGCCATCGCAGGCCGCAGGAGCGGAGGATATCCCCGCTCCAGGTGGAGGGAGGCTGCCCACCAGCCAGAAGAGCGCGAGCGCAGGCAAGGCAGCCAAGTCCCCAGCCAAGGCGTTTGCGGAGCCGCCGCCGCCAGGCCAGAGGAGGCTGGCCCTATCGTCTGGAGGAGCTGCCACGGACAGCGCAGAAGGAGCCGTCAAGGTCAGGAAGGACGAGAATGGCGACCCAGTTGTGGTCGAGGTGGCGGCAGCCCGATCCCCACTGCAGGAGCTGCAGCAGTGCCAGGCGCCGCCCGCCGCCGACGAGAACGCCATGAGCGACGTCAGAGTGGGGCAGCGGCTGGACGCCAACGGGCGGCCGTTGGGCTAGTCTACCCGGGCCAGCCCCCGCTACCGTCTTCAGCGGCGACGGAAGCGACAGGGGGGTGTGGCCCGGTAGACAGAGCCGCCACAACGACTTCATTTTCAGAGGCGCTGCCAAGGAGTGGTGCTGACGCGCCAATTCCAGACACAGCAGCCGACTTGGCAGTGCTGAGGGCAGCATGGCCAATCTCCATCGACAAGGGCTTCGTCGAGTATGGAGAGCAATACCTTCACAGCTCCACCAAGGGAGTACTGTCCAAGTGCTCGCGTCTGCAGGGCGATTTTGATCCAAGCCTGTTTGAGACGCTACTCATCTACACGGATGGCTCGGGCGGCAGCACGCACGGTCATCTTCCTGGGCCGCCGGCCTGGGCATTCGTCGTGCTGGGCTACACGCACGACGACGAGTTCGTGCTCATCGGCACGATGGGGGATGCGATGCCGACGCTGAGGGAACAGTTCAGCCAGCCGTCAGGTGCCGCAGACATATGTGCGATGATTGCCGCGATCCTCTGGCTCATGCAGCTCCAGGTGGCTGTGGACGAGACGGGCAGGCACGCGCAGCTGCCAGTGATCAGCTTCTACACCGACAACAACTACGTGGTAGACATAGGGAGAGGAGGTGCCGCGCTGGAGCACTACGCGCCGTACGCCAGCTTCCTGGACAGCATCGTCAAGGTGCTGAGACACAGCGCCGAGGACGTCCTCTGGTCGCACGTCGGCGGCCACATGGCGGACCCGTGGAACGAGCTCGCCGACACCGTCGCCACGCTGGCCAGAGGCGGCCTCATCGCGTGGCCCAACGGCTTCGACCTCTGGGAGCGCATGGAGCAGGTGCTGCCGCAGGCGCCCTGGCTGTGGCTCAGTGTTGCCCCTCAGGCCGAGAGAATCCAGTACCCGCTCCCAGGCCTCCCCGTCCCTGTCCTCGAGGCCCCGTCCCAAGGCCTCCAGAGCTTTCTCCTGAAGCACCTGTCCCAGGGAGACATCGCCTCTCAGGGCGAGGGCCGAGGCAAAAGGAGGGGGGAGGAGCAACACAGCGCGCCACGGAAGCTACGGCTAGCAGTGGCCAATGTCCTGACGCTCGATCCCAGGAAGTCCAGGGTGAACAAGGGGAAAGCCTTCACAGGTGTCCTCATCCCAGGTAGGATGCAGTCCCTAGCGCAGCAGTTCGGGGACGCGGGCTACCACCTGGTCGGCACGCTCGAGACCAGGGTCCCTGCCGAGTCCGTCGTGAGTGGGCCACTACATGGTGCTCCACACTGCCGCCGAAGAAGGAGGACGCTTCGGGGTCTCGCTGTGGATCAACACGGTGGGCCGGCTTGGCGAGGACGGCCCCACCCTGCAGGAGCAGCACGTGGCGATCGTGCACAAGGGGCCGACCCGCTTGCTGGTGTGCATCAGGGCCCCCTTCCTCAACTGCGACATCCTGGTCGGACATGCCCCACACAGCCACAGGCCCCCAGGGGAGATCAGGGACTGGTGGGAGCACACCCAAAGGATCGTCGACAAGAGACCCGACCCCAGCCCGTGGCTCTTCTCCCTGGTCGACGCCAACGCCCAGGTGGGATCGGTCCCCACGGTCGGCATCGGGGAGTACGGAGCGCAGAAGGAGAACCTCCCAGGGGCCTGCCTCCGCAAGTACGTCAAGCGCACAGACTCCTGCCTGCCCTCCACGCTGGCCCAATCCAGAAACAATGTCTACGCCACGTGGACTCCATCGAGGGCCAGGTCCGCTGAGGACGGCAAGCGCATAGATTACATCGCGGTACCACAGGAGCTGCTACAGCATGTGGGCGAACAAGGGGTCAACGACAACATCGAGCTTGCGGTCTCCCACAAGGACCACGCAGTGGTGGACCTGGAGGTGCAAAAATAAAAACAAACAAAATAAAAAAAACTGAAAAGTTTAAAATTACGAAACAAGCAGACACACGATACAATAAAACTAAGTAAAACCAAGACAAAAAAAAAAAACAAGAAACAAACAAAAAAAAAAAGAAAAAAAAAAAGCAAAAAAAAAAAAACACAAAATAAAACAAAAGTAAAAATAAAACAAATAACAACAAACAAAAAACAAAAAAAAAACAAAAAACAAAAACAAAAACAACACAAAAACCCCCAAAAAAAAAAAAAAGCTCCCGCAGGGCCAAGAAGGGGAAAGACCGCCCAGGTGGCAGCGCCCCAAGGTGGACAAGACCAAGCTCACCACGTTCTCTTGCCAAGCGAGGTTCGACGAGCTGATGGGGCAGGTGCAGCACCCGGCAGCGAACGTCCACCCCAACGATGATGCGGACTACCTCGACAGCCAGGTCTTGAAGGCGGCAGAGGAAGCCTTTCCGCTGGAGCCCAAGGCGCCGAAGCCGACATGGGAGTCGCCAGCCACGCAGGACCTCTGCCATGTCAGGGCACTGCTCCTAAGGACCACAAGGCGGGCCAGGAACCGCCTGGGTCACATCATGCT